ATGACGATTGGATGGAATCTGGACTGGTTTTGGGCCGTGTTTTGAAGAGAGCTGGTTTTTTGCGCACCACTAAAGCAATGGAAGGAACGGACGTGTCTGATCTGTGCCCTACTTGCACCCAATTGGCTAATTTTCACAAAGGCCGCGAAGGCTTTCTGGAGATTATCTTTGCAGGGATAATCCTCCAAAGTGTCGAATGGCCAGCGTTGCGGGCGGCGTTCGACGTTTGATTTTAGAAATTTCTAGCTGATGGGGGTGAGTCGCAAAATGGCGCCAGCTGGTGAGCTCTTCTTGGAAAGGTCTATGGTGACGAACAGCGTGAGAAACGTAGGGTGTGCTGGGAGTCCAAGTGGCTGCAGTATTAGCCGATCAGAATGCCGAAGAACAAGTCGTGAGGCACCCCGCATTTAAGCTGTCGGCGAGTAAAGTTGTAAAATGCAGAACCAGGAACATTTTTGCGTGCATTGTCTAGCCCTTATTGCAAGAATTGAGATGGATCAGACTATGAGGTGCAGCTCAACTCTTGCATAGTCTTCCGATTTACATGTGTAGTGGGTGGCACCTGGCCCTAGATCGTCTTCAGCACGCAGGCGAGCAGTCTCACTACAGTGAGAGGCCCTCTCGCTGTTGTCTTTTATTTTTTTTTTGCAGGGTTTTCTTTTAATCTTAAAAAGCAAAAAAAGAAAAAAAAAAATTTACGCAAACATTTTTTTTTTTTTTTTTTTCTTTATAGTAATATTGACGGCGAGAGATTTATTTGAAATTCTGCGAGTGAAGTCCGTGCTGTCACGGGCGGGCAGACGTCGGGGGTCATTCTGGAGTTACCATCTCTGTCGTCAAGGTGAAGCCGATCCACCTCTCCTCCACGATCCCGCAAATGCCAAGAGAAAACAAAAGGAAAGGAGGTGACTGCTGACTAAATCGCATCTCTCATCGTCAATATTACTAAAAAAAAATTTTTTACGTAAAATTCATTTTTTGACACTTATAAGTTTAAGGGGTAGGTTAGTGGGTTAAGGCAGAGGGCATGGTTTTGTTGGCTGAAGGGGCCACTGAACCCATTGTCTGAGAAAACCTTGCTGATAGCGGCTGTTGATTCGTTTAATTGTATGTCCAAACGACGGGGTTTCCAAAGCTCTGCTTCTGAGTGAGTAGCTAATTTTATAATTTGCTAGTTAACCACCATATGTCCTTCAATGTGTCACTTTTTTTTTTTTTTTTTTTTTTGCTTTTATGTGCGGTGGTGGACTCCGTCCTGAGATTTATTACAGTTCATGGCTGCCCATTTAAACCGGCAGGTATTTCAGCGCTGCCAGTGGAGACTTTCATTTTAAAAATAATCTGCGAGGACCCAACTTCAAACTTTGATAACTTCACCAAAAGAAGTTCCTGTTACCTAATACTTTTGTGACAAGTACAGCTTTGTCTGCAATGCGTTTGCCAATTTTGAGGCGAATTGGCGACCAGGGACGAAAGAATAGTGGATTATCGCTTTAAAAGGTGGTTTTTCTCTGTCTGCGCCTGCTACGGAATCTTTAATCTGTAGACACGTTAGATTTTTCTCTTAGCTAAGGAGATCTAAGCTGAGCTTAAAATTTTCGGCAATGTGCGGTCAGCATTTGGCATCTGACGCCTACGACTCGCTTTTCTTTGACAAGTCCTTACTATTGTTTAGAATAGAATCTACGAAGGAGTGGAAAAATGAGCCAGCTTCATAGCTGGAGGCCAGACGAGTAGGGATGCTATACCTTAAAAAGGCAGTGGAATGATTTTAGTGTTGAAGGAATTGGCAGTTTGTATTTTTGATATTGTTTATTCAAGTACAAATGACCAAAAACGGGTCACCATGCCCCGAAAAAATGCTAATCCGGTGCATAGTTGCAAAGAAGAAAACAAAATATTTGCCGATCTGCAGCCGCTTGTGTTGGTTAAAGGGGCCCTCCGGAGCTTTCTGCGATTGTGTGTTTATGTTGTTATATTGCGTAGTAGGGGCAAGTTAATATGCATACAAAGTTTTAATTACAAAACCGTTTATTAAGCAGATGACAGAAGAAATGTATCGGGACTATTTTCTCTTGGAAGACAGTCCCCCATTCCCTGCCCCTCGCTAAAACTTGACCAGTGGAAATGCTGCATCTCGCGGTGAATACAAACATTATTATTGCAACACTTTTTAAGCTTGTTGTAAATTAAAGTTTGAGAAAAACGTAAACCTATTGTGGTGCGGGGAAACATGGTCCGCAGTTATCGCTCCAAAACCAGCAAACCATGTTTTCTTCCCGCAAGCTTGTTGCTAGGGGGTGATGCGTCGGTTCGTCTGCTTCCCGGGGCGTCTGCAGGCATGCGTTTGCGGGACACATGTTCCTTCTTCCCGTGGATCCCGACTCCAAAGCCAGCTTTGCGATCCTTCCACGTCAACGAGTCAAGTTTTTCCTTGTCATCTGTGGGATGCGACTGCGTATTGCAGTAGCAGCGCGACGGTGCGGTGCGACGAACGACTACTACCGAGCACAAGGTCTGGGTTCCTTGACTACGGTCCGTGCGTGCTTGACAGATTCCTCCGCGGGTCGGCGGTCTGCCGCGTTGGTGACGCACAGTGATGCCGGAATTCTTTGCTTGCTATTGGCTGACGCGTAAAGAGATGCCCCATTGTTTCCCGGGGTCATCTCAGAAAGGGGGGAGGGCGTGCCGGGGACATTGATAGCAATTTTGATAGGGAAATTCGCCGTGCATGACCGTAATTTTATGATTTTTAGGATCCTTAGGGCCTGTAGATTGAGTTACCGCCATAAATAGACCATCGCAGAGCGCTCCGGAAGGCCCCTTTAATGTAACTGATGTGTGACATACTCTGGGGGTGTGCGGAAGTGAACAAAACCTGTCTCGCGCCTCTGCTACACTTGCCGTCAGCCCTGTGGCAAACAGTCTTTTGTGTCAATCACTCGCTGCGACCTTCGACGATTCTAATCCTTGAAAAGTCTAATTGTGGAGGAGGTGGCTTGGGTCTCTGAAGAAAGAACCCAAGGGGAACCACGTGATTCCCCAGAGGCGAAGCGGAAGGTGGCGGGAAGAGCTGAGAGGCATTTTGACCTTCGATTTGTTCTGTTTTTTTGCATAAAAGCTAGCGCTTGCAAGGAAGTGTGATTTTCTGTTTTTTGTTCCATGGGTGATACAGATTAATTTTTGCAGTTAATTGGCTAAAGTCGAAAATCGTTGCACGCATCCTTTATGTGCATTGATCCACTGGACAGCCTTTTTTCTTCCCCGTCTTTCTTTTTCTGGTTTCTGGCAGTTGGCCTTAACTTGCATCACTGAGCTTTCCTCTTTTCTGGGCTGAAATTTGTGAACAACTATGCTTTTGAAGGGCAACTCTGCCTCATTGTTTCTTATCGAAAAAAAAAAAAAACGACAACAAAAAGACAGTCTTTTTCAGTACAAGCCAAATGTTACGTCATAGTTTAGTCGAATAGTGGATTCTGAGTTCGAAGCGAATTCGAAGCGAATCATAGTTTTGCGCGAATATTTTCGATTCGAACATCGAATAGTTTTTCCACGCCTTTCACTACCATTGCATAATACTTAGACGAAAATCCAGCTAAACTTGTGAAGGTTGTTCCACTTGTTTATTTATAAACCAAATTTAATCAATCTGTATTTATGAACTGTGACCTCAGAAGGTCTGGTGTCTTGGGATGCCAAGTAAACAACGGATTTGACATAATGAATCCTGTACAGATGGCCAACTATACCTAAAGGAGTGAATTTACAAATCTTGCCATATAAAATATTCTTTCTTTAATCTCGAGTTAAAAAAGAAGGAATCGTGCATGATGAACGCAGGTTGTAAGGGCATCTCTGCCTAACATAGTATACTCTTGCATAACAGTTTAACCCTTTGCGGTCAGATACTCTGACCAACTTAATGGTCATTCCGGTCAGGACCTATTTTGTATGCATGGGCCCCGGAAAAGTAAAATTATTTCGGCGTAGAAAGGCAACGTCTCACACTGAATGTAAGGACTGGAAAGTCCGGGAGATTGTTTGTGTACAAACTCCGGGACAATGTTTGTGGCGAAGCGGCTCCGCGGCCACTGTCTCGTGCAGTGTTTTTATATCCTTCGCTACTTTCACTCAAGTCACAGAGGTGGCCTCTCCATCATCTGATGGAGGGATATAGTCGTCCTCTTCACTGAAATCAAGCGAAGGAGCATGTTTAAAAGGACACGAAAACACGTGTCGGGCGACGCCCGACACCTGACCAGAAGCGCGTTTCTCCGATGTCGGGCCTGGTCCGACACATGACCGCAAAGGGTTAATTTTGAAACTTTGATTACAATGTTGATACACACATTCACAAACCCGTTTTCCCGACGGGGCCGAAGTTTCGGTTTCTGCTCATGTTTAAAGTAGGACTTAACAAAATATATCGCATTTTTCGCGAAGCAAATGACGTGGCGCCTTTTATTAGTGTTTCTTAATGTGAAATCGCTCATTATCCCAAAGTTTTCCGATTGAGCGAAGTTGCCCTTTAAATGTGCAAGAAAAATATGTTTTCCTTTGTCTTGTGCACGGTTATTTGCATCTCTTGCGATGCACATTACTCGGTAACCTAATCGCATCCCATTTTTTATCAACGAGTGGCTGCCGTCCTTCGTCATACAGTCGTCGTGCACATTTTTATGACACTATTCATTTTATGACCAATAGTTTTGAGGAACAGAGGTCCACGTTAGCAAGTCATCCCTGTACAAGAGCACGGCATGGTGAGCATGTCTGTCGTCCGTTCCCCTTTGGATCATTGTCGGACCCGTAGCCCGCTACAAAAGTGCCAGAAAATGCGCAAGGACAAAAAAGTGGACGACACTGGGCGCATTTGTAGTTGATCTCGAGCCAACTGGCCCAAACTGCTGTTTCTTCTCCGCCGACGTAGGGCCGGCGGAAAGACAAGGAAGGAGATTCTTCGGCCTATCTACCGTTCACACTCCTCTTGGCTCTTTCAGGCCTGCTACTTCGACCGTGACGATGTGGCCCTGCCCGGGTTCCACAAGTTCTTCAAGAAGTGCTCGCACGAGGAGACCGAGCACGCCGAGAAGCTGATGGCGTACCAGAACAAGCGCGGGGGCCGGGTGGTGCTGCAGCCCATCGCCAAGCCCGCCCAGGACGAGTGGGGCTCGGGCCTGGAGGCCATGCAGGCCGCCCTGGAGCTTGAGAAGACCGTCAACCAGTCCCTGCTGGAGCTGCACAAGCTGGCCACCGAGAGGGACGACGGGCAGGTGCGTACGCCCCTCCTGACGCCCCCCAGGTGGCGTCTCTGTCTTGTGTACGGGATGCGGCGACAGCCCCTCGAGTCCGTGCTCCTTTACTCCCGCTTCAACTCTCAGAGTTTCGTACTCTTGAGCACAGAAACTAAGCGGAGCATGGCGTACGGTGCTTGGATTGGACATAATCACGGACTTGGAGGTTCCTGGGATTTTGCCTCGAAAACATAAGAGATGTCGAAATAAAACCGCGCTCCAGGCGTGAAAAAAATCGCTTGCTTTACTTACTACACTCCAAAATACATGATGTTGATTCTGCAGTAAATATAACTGTACTTAAAATAATATCTTAAAATTCAAGCTCTTTCTTGTAGCAAGTACTCGTTCGCTGGCTTAAAAATAAAATCTCGTATGCTTATCTTTTGTTATTCATATTCACTATTGCTAAGGGGTGCACAAAAACATCTACAATACTGTTTCTTTCTTTTTTTTTTTAACAAAGTGTTTTAGTGTTTGTGTTTCTGCCCACCAAAATGTATTCATTCCCACCAAAATGTATTCCTGTATTTGTATTTCCAAATACATTTCTATTCTTCAAATGTATTTTTGATGTATCTCAATAATACTTTTTTATAAATGTATTTCGGTATCAGAATTTCAGCTGTTTTTGCCATGTACCCCAGCATTTGTATTTCTAAATACTTTTGAGAGTATTTCTGCCCAACCCTGACTGAAAGTAAAGTGGAATGAAACTGCTACAGCACTGCCTGCAAGCACAAGTAGCTGTAGCGCGCTATGCACACATGACTGCATGCCTAACTGTTCCCAATCAGCAGAGTCATAGTTTTATTGTATGCCCATATCTCTATTGTTTGCTAACCGACCTAGAAAATCTAGGCATCAATCGATCCGTCCCATCAAAATGAATTTGGTACAATAAAAAGGTTTAATATATTTTTCTGTCGAGTAGTAACATTTTGTGCCACTAAGGGATGGCGAGCACATCCCAGAAGTGTAACTGCATTCAGAACGGTGTAAGGAAGTTTTGAGGCCCCCCAATGCGTTCACATCCCTCCAAAAAACCTGCATGTCCCATTTTTTTTTTTTTTTTTGTGAGATTACAAAGAAAGGTTAGAAGGGTTCTAGCTGCTTTGTCTAGGGATATAGCAAACCTGCTCAGATTCGAGTTCTACTGGGTTTGACCTTTCCTAACTTGTGTAACAAGTTTTACTAAAGTTTGACTTCTAAGCGATATTAACATCAGAGTGCACATCACGTGACTAAAGTTTTGCACTTTTGCAGCGTGGCACATTGAACTGCCTCTGTGGTGAAGGGAGTGCCGAGGCGGCACGAAGAATCCCCGTTTGGTGGCAGATCAGTTTGGTTATAACAAAACTTTGTAATCAAAATGGGGACACAGATTTGACATAAAAAAAAAAAAGAAAAACAATTTCATTCAACATTTCTCCTCGTGCAGGAAGTATCTTTATTTAGTAAGTATAACAGCAATGTAAGGGTCTGCCTCGACACCTTCGTTTTTTATTGGAAAGTTGCGTTTACGTTGCGGGGAGAGGGCTGCAGGTTTTGTTGCGTGATGACGTGTCCCTTCCAAAGAACCACACTTCTAGTAGTCTCTGGTGACCCCATTGCTCCTCCCTCGCCAAGGTGGTTGCGGTTGTCCAAGTGTCGTCCACAAGTTAAGTTTTGAGGCAAGTTGCGTGCGATGTATAGGCGAAGTCGCGCTTGTGTTCTTTCAGTGGAGTGCCTCTCCTGCGTCCGGTTTCGCCAATGTATGAAGCACTACAGTCGATACACGGGATCTTGTAGACGACGCCTCTGGACGTCTGTTGGGGTGAGGTGTCTTTTGGCTTGGACACAGCATTCGCAATCATTCGGTAAGGCGTGAACACAGTACAAATACCAAGGGGATGCAAAACGCGACCTAAGCGGTTCAGAGATACATACGGAATACACAACACACTCTTGTTACTATTTTTTTCACGCACTTAGACTTTTTGTTTTATTTGCTTGCAGACATGATCGACAAGCCGCTTTGTGTAGTGTTGTTTCTTCGGGGATTCATGCACATGTGCTTGTTCGTTTGAGCCATAGACTGTTAAATGAAATGGTGTTTAAACTGTGCAAAAATGATTTTACTACAGTGCAATGCACTTGAAACGATAATGAGAAAGCCCGGAAATTCAGTTATAACCAGATTGTTGTAGCTGGACTAGAAACCGATTGCTTCTGGTCTGGAAACTCTATAAATTGATCGTTATAAGCAGTACATTGTTATATGTGGTATCATTAAAAGTGGATTGCATTGTATTGCTTGTCTTGCATTGGGTGGTGAGATCGAAAATCTATAAAACTTCCTGTTTCGCACGGCTTACAATAACATTTTCGTATCGATTCCATTGTTCGGCTCAACCGATCGCATTACACATACGTCCAAAAAGGCCAGCATACCATCGTGTTCTGCCTTGGAAGTAAAATGTATTGTGGGGTGAACATAGTTTAAATCTCTGTGAAAATCATTAACATGTTTCTTATGTAAAATAAGAAAAGTGTCAACATATCTACCATAAAATTCGATAGGGAAAGTGAAGTTACTCCGCATCTTTTTCACGTTGCGCTCCATGATGAGATTTGCAACATTGACAGATACCGGGCTTCCCATTGGACAGCCATTCACTTAGTGGTACACCTTTCCACGGGAGTTAAAAAGACATTAAGGCAAAATCCTGGAGCCCAAGATGATATCTATGTGAAGCGACGTGTGCGTTGCCAGCGTTTCGTCATTAAGGAAGCATTCACATGCAAGATCATTGGCAAGGTCGTTTGGAACATTAGTAAAAGGATACACCATGTCCAGAGGGAACATACCCTCATGCGGAAGAGGCATGAGGGTGTGTTTTCTCTGGATGTAGGGTCTCTTTTTGCTAATGTTCCGAACGATCTTGCCATTGATGTTGCACGTGAACCCTTAGTTAACAACAAAACGCTAGTGACATGCATGTTGCTTAAAGTAGATCATATAACTTTTTTTCCTTAAGATTTTGCCTTCATCAAATGTTTTTTCGCCTTCCGTGGAGAGGCATACCACCAACTGAATGATTGTCCGATGGGGAGGCAAGTATCCGTCGGTGTTGCAAATTCATTATGGAGCATATCAAGGAAGGGGGCTGAGTAACATCATTTTTCTCATTAAATTTTACGGCCGCTATGTTGACGACACTTCGTCATTTTAGATAAGGATGTTAATGATTTGCACCCTATGGTTTGAACAATCTTCACCCCGCAACACAGTTTATTGGCAAGGCAGAATAAGATGGTATGTTGTGCTTTTGAAACATACCTGTAATGCTATGGGTTCAGCCAAACCATGGGATCAATACTAAACTGTTATTGTAAGCCGTGTGAAACCGGAAATTTTATGGATTTTTGATTGCACCATCCAAATCAACTCGCAATAGTGCAATCATTTTTGTACAGGTCAAACACCATTTCAATAAAAAAAGTTCATGGCACAAATGAATTAGCACATGTGCATAAATCCTTGAAATATCGACACAACCCAAAGTGACTTGTTAATGTCGGCAAACAAATCAAACAAAAAGTTAAAATGCGTGAAAAAATGGTAATAAAAGTGTTTTATATTTTAAGTAAAAGGTGTCTCTGAACCGCTTAGCCGTGTTTTGCATCCCCTTCATATTCATTCAGAGTTCAAGCCTTACCGAACAGTTGCAAATACTACGTCGGAGCAGAATGACCCCACCCTGACCTGACAGACGTCCAAGGAGGCGTCGCCTACAAGATCCCGTGTATTCTCTGTTGTGCTTCATACATTGGTAGAAGCAGACGTGAAGTGTGAAGTTGCCTATGCATCGCACGCGACTTGCCTGAAAACTGAACTCGTGGGCTGTACCGTCGCTACCATTTATAGCCAAGTAGGTTATAATGAAATAGCGGCTACAGCGAAGCGATCACGATTTCCCATTGCCGGGCACTTTTCAAGGTATTTGCGTCTGCTTTTAGTGAAGGAAATTGAGTGCCTCCCCCGAATACAGTGAAGAGAAAGTTTGCAATAATTTAAAAAAATGATAAAATTTTCGAAGTTTACCCAGTGGCAGACCGCCACACCCTGCTGCCGTGGCCAAGCAGCCACCCAGAACTGGCCGCAGACATGGTACTAATCCTGCCGGCGGCAGCCTCTGCATCGTCGTCTGCTTGCGGCTGCTTATCTAAGTGTCCTTTCCGCATTGCACACGGAGAAGCCATTGTGGCGGACGGCGATGGCGAAGAGAGCCTAGATAGAAGGGAAGGCGCAACTCCGACCATGGAGAGCATGTTCAGTTTAATGGTGGTTTCCTCCTGGGCAGATTCAGATTGGCACAGCCTTTGGTTGTCTCGTGGCCGGCGTGGCAAAGAAACTGGGCGGAGAGGTGAACACATTTGCAGGCGGCGAATGCGTTTGACTCCTCGCAGTCTGCAGCTCGTTGGAGCAGTTGCCGCTTTTCTCAGATCTAGGTTCTCTATACCAACAAAACGGAAATTTAACTGCAAACTCGAAGCTGCGCGTGCTTCTTTTTTTGCTTCATGTCGGCGTCGCTGGTTAGCATTGTCGCTGCCTGCATGAAAACCTAGCTTTGCTCGAGCATCGTTTCGGGAACTCGTCGCCACTGGACGATGGCGAGTCCAAAGACCACCGGTGGCACCTCGACGAGGAGGGCAAAGGCAAATTGTTTGAAACAAAAGCATCCTCGACGGAGTGCGCATTAACGTAAAGAATTCCACCAGTGTCCTCTGCGGTAGCCGTCGCGTCTGTCGACACAGTGCGAGGGACGAGAAATTGGGTCACCAAAAACTGCTAGAATCGTGGTTCATCCGAAGGAACACGTCGTGCAACAGAAACCGGGGCCCCCTCCTTGAAGCATAGCTGGAACTTCGTGATAAATGGAACGGTGTTGAGATAGGCCCTTACATTACTGCTGTACTTAAGAAGACACCTTCCTAACGGGACGCGAAACGTTTAATGAACATGTTTTTCCGGTTATGTCAAGTCGGTGTCCTTATTTCAAATGACGTCTCCTGGCTTTTGGAGTGTTTTTGCTACAATATTTTGTGGGTAAAATGCACGGTGCCAAGTGTAAAAACCTCAGTTTATCTACAGTAGTATCGTGGAAAAAACGTAAAGCCACTGATTTGATTTGCTCATGCCGACATCTGTTTCCAAGGCATCTGATCCGCATGAACGACGAACAGGGAGTAGCACTTGCCGATGCAATTGTACGTATCTCACCAAATTTGTTGACCACAGAATTGCCACTTTATGCGAACGTGCCGAAGACCGGCTCGCACCGCCTGGCAGAGCCAGGGTGCAGCACCTATTGGGTCTATTGTTTCGCATTATTTTTCTATAGCAATAAAATTTTAAAGAATTTGAAATGTTAGCAATAATTTGAAACATTAGCGTAGACGTCAAGCTACACCTTCAACCTCGTCGAATTTTACCAAAAGTTCAAAAGGTTTGCCGAACCGGTCAAACCTTCATTTGGCATAAAGTTTGCCGCATCCTTAGTTACTTTGGTGACCGGCGGTGTCTTGATGTGCACCCCGAAGGTTGTTGACCTCCCTGCTCTCTGTGCAGCTGTGCGACTTCCTGGAGGGCAACTACCTGAACGAGCAGGTGGACGCCATCAAGGAGCTGTCCGACTACGTGACCAACCTGAAGCGTGTGGGACCTGGCCTGGGAGAGTACATGTTCGACAAGGAGACCCTGTCCGACTGAGCCCCAGGCTGCGTGGCTCCCTCCCAGCTGCCGGGGCAGCTGCTGGTTTCCAATAAATAGTTGCAGACGACCCTCGTGCCTGTCTCTAGCCAGGGACGGTGTGCTCGAAAAGGTCGCACACCACTCAAGCGAGAGGAAGACTTGTATAGTTGCTCATACCTAGGTCATTTCGCGGACCCCTTGTGTATGGGGGAGATGATAGTGGACCTCGTTTGTGGTGAGGGGAAGAGAAAGGTACAGTCTAAGCTCATTACAACACATTTGGATATAACATACCGATTTGTGAAGTTCGGTTGGTTTCCCTCTGCATATTGTTGACTCGGGTTCACTACGGTTGATCGAGTGCCATTTCATCGAAGCACGTTTTAGAGCATGGGTTCTCAAACTGGGTTCTGTGGAACACAGGGGTTCTGCGGAGTGCTCGCTTGGGTTCCGCGAGCACCCAAGTCAGTCCCCCCCATCCTACACACACATACGGACGCGACGAGAAGACGCGGGGCTTTGAGCATAAAACGCGATTTACTATTGATCGAAGTATGCGGGACTCAGTCACTCAGCCATGCGGCCGCATGGCTGAGTGCTTGTTGAGCCTTTTGTGGAGAGCTCTTTTCTCGTGAGGCTAGCCTACCTGGTTGACATGTTTGAACACCTCAACATACTGAACCAAAGCCATCGGGGCAGACGGGTAACCCTAGTTAGTGCTGCTGACCAGATCGGGGCCTTCTGCAGCAAACTGCAGGGCTGGATGAGCCGCCTGAGCAGGGGAGACTAAAGCCCTTTCAAGAGGCTCTGCACCTGTGAGGCTCAACTTGCTCTGTCTGCTTCTGACAGAGCGGTAATCATGGCTCACATCAGTACGCTCGGGGCTCATTTAGCCAATTACTTTCCGGAGGCGGCCAGTGCTCAGTGGCTTGTGTCCCCTTTCCATGTGGACATAACAGCATTCAACAATGAGGCTGTTGAGATTGAAAATGAGTTCCTTAAGCTCGCTGCACTCACTGCAGTGAGCTCACTACTTGAGTTCACTGCACTCGGAGAAGTTCAGCAGCCAAGATGTGGTTGCATTTTCGATGGAGACTGCCTCACTGTTTCCCCACCTCTTTCGCAGGGTAGTGGACATGCTTCTTCCTTTTGCAACTATATATGTTTGCGGGGAGGTATTTTCAGCACTAGGCTACGTGAAAAACAAGCACAGGAACCGACTGAACCGGGCAGCAGATATGAGGCTGGCCCTAAGAGTGACTGAGCCACGCATCGATTCGCTGATGCGAGCAAGGCAACCCCACCCTTCACACTAATATGTATACTGTCTTGCATTTTAATCCCACTCTTCAGTCTAATGTGTGTTCCGCTTTTTATTGTTTTTATCTGTGCAACAAATATTTTGTGAACTCTTTCATTGAAAGTGTATCCAGTCAGCAAAACAGCGGGGAAGGGGGAGGGGGAGGGGTTCCTCGGCAGTCTTTAAAGGTTGCTGGGGTTCCCCGAGGCCAAAAAGTTTGAGAACCCCTGCATGAACACGTTTTATTGAAGCACAGTTTAGAGAAAGCAGAACCTCCGTTTAGAGAAACGCCGTTTATCGAAAAGGGGACGCTTTTTAAAAAAAGGCTTTCCTACTTCTTGCGTGTATCAGTGGTGCGCGTGTTAAGCGATGGCCCCAGGTGTCGCTCCCCCCGCTTCGCGGCGGCAGTCTGTGGCGGCTCATTACAAAAATGTTAACTCGCCCTATTTATCCATACACGCCGCTTTGCGGCGGCAGAATTCGCTAAAAGGTGGCTCGTCGCCATTTTCTCTAAACTGGGTTCTCTATAAAGGCATTCGATAAACCGGGGTTGGTAAAACTGCGTGCGCTAAAACGAGCTTCTCTAAACCGCATGTCTCCGCGTTTACTCAACTTCATATCTGCATACAACATACTCTTCTTGAAACAGACCGAAATCTTGGTCAAAATCGAGGTCTGTTATAACGAGCTTGCACTGTATAGGCTAGTTATGATAATGTTTTAAAAGATGGATTTAACTAAGAACTCTCGTTGACATACAGATGAGAAAATATCACTGGAAAGGTGGAATGTTTGTTTCAATCTGAAAAGAGACAATTTCTATGCCGTGCTCAAGTGATGAGGCAGGGTTTCGCAGACCCCTAAAACGCCTTTGTAGACCCCCATTTGAGAATTGCTGACCTAGGTAATGCCTTGGTGCTTCATTTTCAATTTTCTGCCGGGTGCCATTGTGGGGAGCACTTCCCGGAATACTTTGCGGCGAGGGGAATTGTGGCGCTGTTTGGATGTTTGCTCGTGCAGGCTCAAACGCCTTGTATATCCCTGAGCTGTACGATTCATTCTCTCTTGGCTCGGAAATCGCAAAAAATAGGGAGAACGCAAAAAGAGGTCATTGCACACTGTTTTGCTTTCTTTGTGCCTTCTCCGATACCTAAACTCGCAAAGTGTTAAACCAACTTTGTCTTTGATTCCTGGGTAACCGCAGTCGCCCTCAAGCTGGACGATATTTACCGCGTCTGCGTGCTAGTGAGCCTCGGGACTGGTGCAGTTAATTTGCAACAATTTTTAAGTTTATCGTTTTGGACCATGTCCGAATGTGTCCGTGAAATTAGTCTGCATGTAGTCTCGACCTTGTTTCTTAAGGTTTCTTCTCTGTCCAAAGCCTCCGACGACGTCGATGAAAGAGGGCTGCAGTTAGTTCGGATGCGTCGTGGCACCAGGTGCTCACTGCAGGTTCTGGAGTGGCGGCATGCCGACAGCATTTGGGCTGGCTCTTCATTTCCCGAGCAAGCAAAATATCTCCTCAAACATGTCGTACATTTCCATCCATCGGCACTCTGCAGACTGCACTGAACAGATGGGTAGACGGGCACTAGACTGTGAAGAAGAGGGAAAGTTGCAATATCTAATTCTCGCATGGTTGCGTGCCAATCAATATACAGTCGCCGACCGATTTTTCGGACACTCAATTATTTGGACGTTTTTGCCGGACTGTCACTTGCCCCATAGAGTTAATGTATAACGTTGAGCGAAATTCTGGACGTCGGGAAGCTTATTGCTCGATATTTCTGACATAATTTGAGTGATTTCCTCAGCTTTTAGCCACAAAACAGCCGCTGTGATAGTGCTGCGAGGTTAGTCGCCGCCATTTTGGTGGTTTTGATTTTGCCTTGTAGCCTTGATACCACATCCTACACAATAAACAAGCTGGGTTGAGGCTATAGTCAGGTTTTCCGGTTCCGTTGTAGCCGGCATGGGTGCCGTCTGCAACGAGCTTGACCCCCCCCCCCCCCCCCCCCCGAGTTGCTGCCATCTTGACTGTTTGCTGCATTAATGATCATGTCACTTTAAGATGGCTGCACTCGTAGGTGCGCCAGATCATATTGGCCAGATTACGGTAAGCATGGCCGCGGTCCAAAATTTACTTCATCTACTAGGGTAAATGTTCTGTACCTTGGTGTTGGAAAGGAAAATCTACCCGCGTCCAGTTGCTCTGTCAGTCTTGTTATGTGACATGATCCGCGGGAGTAACTTTGATCCATTCGAGTAACATTGGAAGGCAGCCCCAGAGGGCCCCCTGCTTGCCGTGATCTGGCCCAACTTTGGGCGCAGCCATCTTGATGTCACGTGATCACTAATGTGGTAAACGGGCAAGATGGTGGCAACCGGGGGCGGGGGCCATTTGTGCTGCAGGCTTTGGGTTGAGGTTTACCGCTCCAAGTTGATACTTAAGCTCGTTGGCCGTCTGCCCATTCTTTTGGTTCTTCCAGTTCTCGTGGTCAGTGTTTTACGGGTGTGACTGCGAGAAGAGTGGCCATTTTCCGTTCTTGAGCACAAAGGGTTTTTACCGATAGGCTTAGGATTGAAGTGAGCTTGGTGGACTAAATGTCGTCTCCAAATGGTACCAACTTCAACCTCGCTCTTTGTGCCAACGAAGGCGCCGACAAAGTGCAGCACCGTAATCAAGAAACATTAAAAAATGAACAATATAAAGTGGAAATTGCACGAGAACTTAAAACTTGACATCAAGCAGGTGGAAAGTGGCCAGTATGCGGCGTAATATGCGTGGAAATTTCATAATTTGGGGGGGGGGGGGGGGCTGAAATCGATTTTTCGGACCACTCGATTCTTCGGACAATTTTGGGGTCCCCTCAGTCCGAAAAATTTGTCGGCGACTCTTATCATAACTGCCAATGAGAAAGTGGCAGTAAGGTGCTTCAGTCGTCCCGTCTCCAACACGAGCTTCCTATTTTCGACCGCGCTTCGGCGTCTTGTGCTCCCCGAGCACAAGCGGCCGAAGCGCAAAGAGTGTGCCGAAGGCCCAGGCATTTGAAAGACGTGCCCTGTTGTTCTCATTCCCTCTCTAACTATAATGACTTTCACATTCCACACAGTGGCCTGTATGTTGAATGGGGTGGATAACAGCAGCCTTTAGAATGTTTTTTCTTTAATCAGGTGGAACTGTGCCATTTTGCGCCAGACGCATTTGTCTGCGCCATCCTGCGCTATAGCCAATACCTCGCGCCATACTGCAACAAATCGCAAAAACGTGCACCAAAAAAAGATGTATGTTTCTTGATTTTTTGTTTTTATTGACTCGATTGGCAACAATGGAGCGCGTTTAGCTTGATCGGCCTTGCAATCCTTTGTTCTGTTTATTCTCCCTGTGTATCTTGAGTCGGAAGCGTGCAAAAAAATTTGGGGGTCGGATTCCACGCGCTACACCACTTGCGACTGGATTGTTATTCTTCAACCATAGAGCGCGAAACACGTGTACGACGAAACCGTCCGATCCCACGTCCGATTAGGCAATACGACGGTTGAAGGCGAGGGTTTTCGGCGCTCTCCAGTGCTACGAAAACCTTCACCCCCCGAAGGTCATTCCGGTAGTTCGCACGTCGGATCGGATGGTTTTGTCGTACATGTGATTCGCGCTTAAGCGGTTAAGCAAGTCGGCAGAGGTGAGGTCGAGTCGTTAAACGTCAGATTGCCTGAGGCTCTGTGGCCCAGGATCCGAATGTCAACCAGTTGAAAATGAAGGAGTAAAAGATTCTTTTTAGTTCTTCATC